CTTCCTTTACACACTTAACTATATATCCTTCTCTTCCTTCACACACTCAACTATATATCCCCTNCACTTACTCATTCAATAACTACAAGTACATGCACTTACTCATTCAATAACTACAAGTACATGCACTTACTCATTCAATAACTACAAGTACATGCACTTACTCATTCAATAACTACAAGTACATGCACTTACTCATTCAATAACTACAAGTACATGCACTTACTCATTCAATAACTACAAGTACATGCACTTACTCATTCAATAACTACAAGTACATGCACTTACTCATTCAATAACTACAAGTACATGCACTTACTCATTCAATAACTACAAGTACATGCACTTACTCATTCAATAACTACAAGTACATGCACTTACTCATATAATAACTTCAAGTACATGCACTTACTCATATAATAACTACAAGTACATGCACGTACTCATTCAATAACTACAAGTACATGCACTTACTCATATAATAACTACAAGTACATGCACGTACTCATTCAATAACTACAAGTACATGCACTTACTCATTTAATAACTACAAGTACATGCACTTACTCATTCAATAACTACAAGCACATGCACTTACTCATTTAATAACTACAAGTACATGCACTTACTCATTCAATAACTACAAGCACATGCACTTACTCATTCAATAACTACAAGTATATGCACTTACTCATTCAATAACTACAGGTACATGCACTTACTCATTCAATAACTACAAGTACATGCACCTACTCATTCAATAACTACAAGTACATGCACTTACTCATTCAATAACTACAAGCACATGCACTTACTCATTCAATAACTTCAAGTACATTTTCAATTTTTAAGTTTAGGAAAAGGGTTTTTAACTATAGAGTTTCCCTTTTTTCGGATCAATTTGGTTCCGTAAAGCTTACGGAACCTTTCCGGAGGCTAAAAATGATAAACCAGTAAAAACCTTTGGAAATTTAAGGTTAAAACCTTTCCTAAATAAATTAAGAAGAAATATGGAATAACCGTCAATTGTAAACTTTTTTTTTCAAAAGTTTTTAATTTTCTTAACGGCTTCAGAAAAAGGTTCCGTAAGCTTTACTGATCCAACTTGATCCTTAAGAATTTGGAAATCCTAATTTCAACTCATTTCTGATCATCAACCCGTAATAATTTTTGGATAATGTGAGAATTAATTATCTAAAACATCTACCACTTCACCTGTTCTAACTGTGTAATCTATGAACATTACCAACAAGAACCCATACTCATCCCTCCGCCCGGAGTAATTGAGACGGACTTGGATAATAGGGATTGGAGAAGGGTCTGGGACAAGGTCGAATGATATTATTTAAAAATTCAAGAATTTACAGAACAGGGAGAAGATATATTTTGAACTACAATTTTATTGAAAGAACAATTATAATGAACGAATGATTTTATTGAATGGACGATTTTACTGAAAAATTGTTCAGTGAGAAAACGAATGAAATAGTTCAGACCTTTCTTGCGTGCTTAGCAACAATTAATACAGTTTGTATGTTTCAAAACAGTATGAAAAGTTTTCATTTGAAGATAAGAATGATGTTGTGTATCCTTCAACAAGGTATAAACATTTCAATCAATATGACATCATTGAAATATTAAATCAACTAATTGTAATCTAGATTTTCTAGATTCTAAATGAATGTCCACTTCTGACTTTATTCATACCTCACTCGAGAGTGGGAAGAAACGGTTCTTCTCAATTCTTTGATCAAATTTTTCCAAATATCCTGCATATATTTTTTTCTGTATAAGATTAATGTAAAAAACGCATCATTGAAATATTCAAATCTTAAATTGTCTCCATTTATCCTTAAAAATAAATTATGATAACAAAAAATCATGAAATGATATATTTTAGTAATAATATAAAGAATATAAAGAATCCATAGACGCGGCTTAAATTCATTGAATTCGGACACATGTGTTTTAACTCATTAAACTTAACATGCCCTAAACAGCCGATCCTTTATAATCTGAAGACATTAAATGAAGAATTAGAATCTACCTTATTAAAGTATTAAGCAAACAATTACTGATGGGCATCATTTTGATGTCTGTCTTAAATATTTTAATAACCTAACCTAACCTATTTTAGAATTGTATGCCTGATATGTTTGCTTTTTTTTGTACTTTTTTCCACTCTATTATTAACCATGATTAATGATATTAACCAAAGCGGTTTTTGCAAAACAATTGTCAGAAACATTTTGTTAAATATAAAGTTAACGCAAATCAGACTTTTCTCTGCCTTAAACATCTTAGATTCTTCTAGAGCATCTTTACAGCCAAAAACCTTGAATGTGTAAAACCAAATCTCAAAACAATGACCCAACTGGGTTTGTATGTAAGGAAAGTTTAAATAGAAATTCAGGAAAAAATGGGAAATCATGAAGAAAAAACAAACAATAGCAAATTTAATGAGACCTCCTAAAATCCAAATAGAATTAATAGCACCTTCATATAGGACTGTTTGACTTTTTTCAGTTCATTTGTTAATGATAAGATTATTTAACAGGCTTATCAAGGAGCAATTCATTTTTAATATTGTTTTCTGTTGGTTAGTCAAACTGGCATTCATTCTTGATCTTGCTTTTTTAACTATGTTGATAGTAGAGTTTTGGAGTGAGGCATTTATTACATGAAGATTTAAAGATGCAGGATACAAGGTAGGATTACAGATACAAAATAAAGGATTATTTCTTGAACATTTTTTTAAGTAAACAACGAATTAAGAACCTATGGCCGATGAGGCTATAAATACAGGTTAAGATTTAATCTATATACAGGGTTACCCACAAAGGATGAGACTCCAGTGACAGCTGTACTGTCTATTTCCTTATATTCATAATTTCCTGCAGCTGTAAACTTCATCAAATAAGCTATCTTATGACCAAACTCCTGGCAGAATATGTGATGGAATCGTCGTATTTTATTATTGCTTAGTTTCCATGCAAAGCTGGGTTCCGAAGCTAGTACTTTAAAGAACTATAGAAATGAGTGTTCAAGCTGAATCAGAAGTTTGTTCTTTAACCCTACAGGATTAGTCTGGCCGGACTGAAAACCAAATCAATAAACTGATCATCACGAAACTAAGTGAATTCTGTACTTTTTACTGTAAACTTATAATGTATCTGTGATTGTACCGAATGTACCATGTACCATGTACCATGTACCATGTACCATGTACCATGTACCATGTACCATGTACCATGTACCATGTACCATGTACCATGTACCATGTTCCATGTACCATGTACCATGTACCATGTACCATGTACCATGTACCATGTATCATGTACCATGTACCATTTACCATATGTACCATGTACCGTGTATTTACAATTTACGTACTTCACAATTTGTCTGTTATTTTTAAAAATAAATAACAATCAACTAATATAATAACCTGTATAAAAATGTTGTATATTTCAAGACAAATTGAAATTTTTGTCTTAGCATATTTTATGTGGCGTGTCATAATTCATAAAGAATTTCAACTTTTGTGAGATCAAGGTTGTTGGAAATATACCTGTTTTTTTCTTGAAAATTAAGTACCTACATAGTTTCTCTTCAAAAACGCTTATAATTGTGCATAATGTTGTAGATAATGTTGTTTACATCCTGAGCAGATAAGCCAATCCTTTATAATCTGGAGTCAATCCAGTAATCTTATCATTAGTTCCATGCTCTACTCACAGATACAAAATTACGTGGATTTTTTGTTTAAAGATTGAAAATGTACAGAGCTAGTTAATCAATGAACAGGATATTTCACAGATAGAACATTTAATAGACAGGACATTTCATAGATAGGACATTTCATAAACAGGATATTTCATAGATAGGACATTTCATAGACAGGACATTTCATAGATAGGATATTTCATAGATATTTTTAATAGATAGGGTAACTTTTTTTATTAAGTCATACCCTGCAATATCTCTCTGATTTTTACTTTACATACCATCCATATTTTAGCTTTCAACTGATAGATTGTTAGCAAAACAATATATTCACATGCATTTCAAACTAATCACATTTTCTGAAAATGTGACACACGTTTTTAATAACACAAAACTTTAAATTGTCTCTGAAAAAATGCTTTTTATATGAAATCACTTATGAAAAATCTGCTCTGTCTGTGAAATGTCCGATCTATGAAAAGTCCTATCTCTGAATTATTTTTTCAATAAATGTCCTATCTATGAAATATCCGGTGTATGAAGTGTCCTGTCTATGAAATGTCCTGTCTATGAAATGTCCTGTCTAGGAAAATTCTTTCTATTAAATGTCCCAACAATTTTTTTAAGACATTCAACAAAATGAAGTAGATTATTCTTGCTTTAATATTCGCTTTGAACAGGCCAAATTCAAGTTTCAAGTTTTGACCTAAAATAATTTTATTTATCAAAATCAAAAACATGTAGATATACTGTAAAGTGATAAACCTTCCTTTTCCTGCTTCTGCAATCTCAGTCTATTCCATTTTTCATCTGTAGTCAAATTGTTGTGGTAAATCTGTATTTCAATGCAGATCATAGCCTGATTACCACTTGCATTTTTTTTTAATTCATACTTGAGGAGTAAGTGGCAGACTTTTTTATTTTTGCTTCAAACCTTCAATTCAGTTTTTTCATTATGCAATTATTACATTTAATTTAAACCTGTAAATTCCTTGTGATACTAAAATTTATATATTTAAGTTCCAATTTTTTTTAAATCTTAATTATAAACTATGGGTTCAAATTTTCCAATCTTTGAATATTGGGTTAAACACTGTGAATATACATGTAGAAATTTTCATTTTAGAACTCTGCACCAAATCATATTTAGTAAATTCTGAATCAACTATTTTTTCAGTTAAATAATTATTTTCAATTCTAACATATATATTTAAATATATTTAAAAGGTAACTTTTAAAATAAGATTTTTGCAATGTTAAGTTTTTTTTCAGATCAACTGTTTTTACAAAAATGGGAGGTGGACCATCAAAAGAAGAACTTGAAAGTCAGGAAACTGAGGAGGTACAAAAAGAGTATGCAGAGAAGGAGAAAATTAGGGCCGAAGAGCTCAGAATAAGAGAAGAAAACATCCAAATGGAAAAGGAGAAGTTAGCAGAGGAGACTAGGAAATCCCTAGTGAAGGAAAAGCACCAGCAAATACTGGAACTGCAGAAGCTAGAACATCAAAAGTTGAAAGAGGAAATTGAGAAAAATCAAAGTTTGGAGGAAAGTAAGCGGGAGTTTGAAATCCGAAAGTTGAGAGAGGAAGCAGATTCAGAATTGAAACAATTGCAGCTGAAACAAGACACGGAGTTAGAGTTTAACAAAAGGGAAGAAGAGAGACAGAAAGAAATTGAAAAGAATAGGAATCAAACTGAGTTGAAAAGAATTGAGTTAGAAGGCAAGATCAAGAAACTTGAGATAGATACTCGTAAAAAAACAGAGATAGTAAAGGAGAAAATTATCAAAGATTGTGAAATAGAAAAGAAAAAACTTGAGGAAGAAACAAAAAGGAAAAAACAAGAGCAGGAAATTGAACTCGAAAAGGAATTAGAGTCAATGAAGATGGATATAGAACTGAAAAAATACACAATGGAGAATGAATGCAAGATGGATGAACAGGACAAGCGGGCAAAACTTAAAACTGAAATGGGACATGCTAAAATCGATGCTGAGAAAAAGATCAAAAGCCTTGAGATTGAAGGAAGATCAGCTGAATCAAAGCACACAACGATAAGGATTGCACTCATTATATTTGCTGTTTTCATTGTTGCTGTAACATACCTGGGCTATGCTTACATCTTAACTGAAGGAGAAGTTCGGGTGAGTAATTTCATTTCTTAAAATCAAGATAAATTATTCCTATGCTTCTTTAACTTTACTGTTGGTGTAAATATTGTTTTGCAGATGAGTGAGATAAGAGGCAGGCTTGCTATAGAGCAGAATCACCAAAATCATCTGCTAGAAGGGGAGTGGAGGATTTTTTGATGAGGATGAGGTCTTCATAGAAACTGTTCCAGAGGATGTATCCGACACTTAATTTTAAACAGAGTTTTAAGTTATCTGCATTTAATTTCAATAATTTCTATTAAACATTGATTCAAAATTTTTAATGATTGAATAACATTAAAAACATAAAATGTGATAAATCAAAGGTTAAACCTTTTTCTTGATTTAATAAAAGGCATTTGAACAGAGTAAAATTTTCTTCTTACAAAGTTCTTTCTAAATAATGTAAACCATTTCTGTAATTCAGCAATTTGATTTTAAATTTGATTTTTGACTTGGATATATCAAAGACATTTCAGTTGATTTATTTGTTATCTATTTCAAAATATTTAGTTCTAATCATTCAGTCATGAGTGAGGGTAAGTGCCTATTTTTTAGTGGCTTATTTTACTTGCAAAGTAAAAATACTAATGCAATGAAAAACAAAAGCCATAAGAATTCATTTTATGGAGCCATGTTTTAGTCCCTCCATAGTTTACATGTTCAACTTAGTATCAATGTAGACAAACATTTCCTCTCTTACTAGAAACCCAACTTGATGATGAATCAATACATTGTATATTCCTCTTATTGACTAGGCTCAAGGCAAGAACAAGAGACAAGAGAGAGCGAGCAGCAACCTTTTAAAGGTCATGCTGTAAACTGTAGTCCCTACAGCTCTAACTGTGCTAGACCTAACTCAAAAGGTAATTATCTACAGTTGGTCAAATTATCCACTAAATGAAAATATTTTTGATTCCTCTAATTGACTAGGTCCCAGGCAAGAACATGTAAAAAGAGACACTGATTACCAACCTTCTTGGGGTCCTGCAGTTAACAGTAGACTGGAAACACTAGGTAAGTATCAACACTTGGAAAATTTTCATCTAAATGAACATATTTTGAGATACTCTTAATAACTAGGCTCCAGTTATGAACAAGAAAGAAGAGAGAACTGTTATCAAAATTCTGAGTGTTCTGCAGTTAACAGGAGTCACTGCAGCAATTATAACAGTAGATCAGATTCAATATTAATAATAAAATACTTGGAAAAATTATCCTCTAAATGAACGTATTTTTAATATTCCTCAATGTTGAAAAGTCCCAAGTTATGAACAAGAAATAAGAGAGAATGATTACCAAGGGGGTCATGCAGTAAACAATTATCCTGACAGCTCTAATTATCCTAGACCTAACTCAATAGTTAGATATTAACAGTTGGTAAAATTCTTCTCTATAGAAACATTTTGTTAATCTTTCCTATTGACTAGGTCCTAAGCATGAACAAGAAAGAAGAGAGAATGATTACCAAACTTCTGAGGGATATGTGGAAAACAGTAGTCCCCATAGCAATGCTTACATTAGACCTAATTCAACAGGTAAATGTAAAAACTTCCTTTACATCATCATATTTTAATTCCTCTGATGGACTAGGTCCCAGCTAGGTATAAACAAGAAAAAAGAGAAAACAATTACCAAACTTATGGGGGTTACAAACTAAACTGTAGTCCCCACAGCTATGATAACAGATTATCAGATTCAAATGGAATTGGGTAAATATCATAATTATCCTTAGCATCATTATATTTAAATTCTTTTGATTAAATAGGTCCAAAGCAAGAACAAGTAAGAAGAAAGAACAATTACCGAACTCCTGGGGGTCATGAATTAAAACAAAGTTGCCAAATTAATGATAGCAGTAGACCAAATTCAATAAAATCAAATAATAAATTTGTTTCTAAAGGCCCCTGATTGACTAGGGACCATGCTAAATCAAAACAGACGGCAGACCAATTACTAACTTTTAGGGAGTTACACAGCATCAAACAGTAGTCCCAACAACAATGATAAGCCCAGACTTAACTTAATAAGTAACTATTAGCAGCCAAATTATCCTCTAAATGAATAATCAACATATATTTAATGTCTCTGCTTGATTAGGCCTCAGGCATGAACAAGACAGAAGAGGCACTGATTACCAGCCTGATAGGGGCCAGGCAGTATACACTAGTCCTCCCTCTAGGAATCATTATGATCGTCCGGAAACAATAGGTAAAACTATGTTGATTTAGGGTTATTATTCATAGTTTAAATGTTTTACTTAATATCAATGTAGACAAACATTTTCTTTCTTACTAAAAACCCAACTTGATGATAAAGAGATTGTTTTTATTGATAAGGGTCATCCAGGTACAACTTATTATGCTATTTCCAATCAATTTATCATTATTTACAATTTACTTCTAACTCTTTACAGAATGTGATAATATCCTAATAATTTGAATATTGAATTAATATACTAAACTGAATAGAATTGGCTCCAGCCAGAATCAGTAGCTGAAGTAAAGCCAGGGTCAAGTTTTGAAGAAAATACTGTTTTGGCATCAAACAGCTTTAAGCATCAAGAGCAGACATTTAAAAATTTAACTTAAAAACCATAGTATGAATCAATTATGGTGACTGCATTTAATATAATAAATATCTATATTAATTGCATTTTTAATTCATGCCACTATAAACACCTTAGGTGATCAGCAGGCACTGGATAATTATCAACAGTTTGACATAGGTATGATCAGTTACATAAATATCAAAGTAACTAACTAAAGGACTTTTTAAGGATATGTTATTGAGCAGGCCAGCAATACTTGGATGAGTTATTACAACCCATGGACAAAAGATACTAAGAGTTCAAAAGAAGAGAGGGAAAAAAGGAATAAGCTAGAAAAAGTAAAACGGGAGCAAGAAGAAGCTGAAGAAAAGAAGAAAGAAGAACAACACCCCAAGGAAAGAAGTAGAGAAGGAATAAAAAGTTGCTAAAATTATCCTTTAAATCAATACATTGTATATTTTAGAAGTACATTTATTGCTTCTAGATTTAAATACATATTAAATAAAGAGTGTATAAAAGGAGAGGAAGTTGAGAAGGTCTTCTCCGGTTCCAAGATCCGACACAACTCCTTTACGGGGATTTCATCCTCTACAGAAGTCCCCCTAAGTCTCGAGCATAGAGGTAGTCGAGACTGATACNCCAGGACAAGGGTGATTTGAGTTGCTTATGAGTTATTGATCTTCCCCCACCTCACCCCACGTCATGATCAACCTTAAGTAAGGCTGGCCATTGGACATTGGGTCCAGAATCAGTAGCTGAAGTAAAGCCAGGGTCAAGTTTTGAAGAAAATACTTAAAATACTTAAAAAATAAAAGTATGAATCAATTTGGATATATGTTAGTCATAGATTAACTATTTCCAGGTTTGCAGAGTGAGCAAGATGAAAATTATAGTCATTTAGGTCAGCCAGAAGTGATAAAGACAAAAAATGGCATATTTTGGTATGGCGGGGAGAGTAATGCATATAAACCTTTAAAAGAACCAAGCCCTATAAACAATTTAGGTGATCAGCAGGCACCGGATAATTACCAACAGGATGACATAGGTATGATCAGTTTTGTAAATATTATCAAAGTAACTAACTGGCTCATACTAAATCTAGAATAAAAGTTACACATAATACTTTTTTAGTATATTTTATAGAGCAGACCAACAAGGGTTGAAAGAGTAAAGTTAAAAATTTAACTTAAAAACCATAGTATGAATCAATTATGGTGACTGCATTTAATATAATAAATATCTATATTAATTGCATTTTTAATTCATGCCTCTATAAACAATTTAGGTGATCAGCAGGCACTGGATAATAATCAACAGGATGACATAGGTATGATCAGTTTCATATCAAAGTAACTAACTGGCTCATACTAAATCTACAATAAAAGTTACACATAAGACTTTTTTAGTATATTTTATAGAGCAGACCAACAAGGGTTGAAAGAGTAAAGTTAAAAATTTAACTTAAAAACTATAGTATGAATCAATTTGGGTGACTGCATTTGATATAATATCTGTATTACTTGCATTTTTGATTCATGCCTCTATAAACACTTTAGGTGGTCAGCAGGCACTGGATAATAATCAACACATAGGTATGATCAGTCTCATAACTCTCAAATATAAACAGATCACTACTCGGATTTTCAATGATACTAAGAAGTCAAAAGGAGAGAGGGAAAGAAAGAAAAAGCTAGAAAAAGAAAAAAAGGAGGAGGAAGAAGCTGAAGAAAGGAGGAAAGAAGAACAACGCTACAAGGAGAGAGAAGAAGAAAGAAGGAAGAAGAAAGAAGAGAGTGATAAACTTATCCTTGAGCTGGAACTAGAGAATCAGAAAATTGTAGAACAGAGACGATTAAGGTTGGAAGAATTGAAGAAAGATGCTGAGAGAATTAGAAAAGAAAATGAGCAACGCGAAAATGAAAATGTTAAAGTCAAGGCTTCACTTCTAAGGAAAATTAAGTTTGAGGCTTTTATGAAAGACATTGAAGATGCCAGAATTAAAGTTGAAGAAAAAAAAATCAATGACCAGAAGAAACATGTTTTAGAAAAACAGCAACAGGTAGAGTTGAGACAGAAGATCCATGAAGAAGAGTGGATGAAGAAAGAAAAAGAGTGGATGAAGAAAAAAAAAGAGTTGATGAAACAGGAAAAAGAGTTGATGGAAATTATGAAGTTTAAAAAATTAAGAGAAGAACTGGAATTAGCAAAGGATAAAGAAGAGAAAGAAAGAGCACTGGCGGAAACTGAAAGGATGATTATTAGACCTGAGAAGAAAACTGTTTATCAAATAGAAGATCAAAACAGGAAATGGCAACAAATGCAAGAGGAGCACGATAAAAAAATGTCGGATAGAAAACAGAAATATGAAAACTGGCGTGAAGAGCATCAAAGGGAACAAGAGCATCAGAAAGAAGAATTACAGAAGCTAGAGTTGTTACAAATGAAAGCAGCCAGATGGCGTTCTTTCTGGACTATATGTTCACTTTGTGGAATTCTCCTTACCATCATGATGTTTATTCTTCTGCCAATTGTTGAAATTCAAGTAAGATATTCATTTTTTACCTAATCAGTAATAATTCATAATTTCTGGTTTTACAAAGCTTATTTACAGCATGGGGACCAATAAAACTTTGGAATATGAAAATGGCTATTAGACAATTAGACTATTAGACTATTAGACTATTAGACTATTAGACTATTAGACTATTAGACTCAAGTTTATAAGATTGCTGAAATGTTCTCTTCCTATTCCACAGTATATGAGTACCAAAGATAGATCATGCATTTCTTATAAAAATTAAAATACAAAAAGTTGTTGAATGAATAATATCTAATCCATGTTTACAGATTGAGGGTTTAGATGAGATGTTTGAGACGTTTCTTAACATAGTTTTCCCCCCTCAAGAGCTGGTTCCTAAAAAATTCAGACTAGAGCATAAAACTGATCTCTAAACTCTGAACTCAACATTTTGAAGAAAAAAAATCATTACGTTTGAAGGTTAAAATAAGAATATTGTTATTTAGAAAGACCAATCTTTTTTTACATATTAACTGATTTATCAAAGATTTAATAGAAAACCGACTTAAAAAAGGCACTATCTCCTGCAATTAGCCTAAAACTGTCTACGTAAAGTTATACTTTGTTTTTCACGCCACTTTAAAAATGCATGATTTTCCTTAAGAATTGAAAGGGCCTCTATGTATTTGTTTTATTTGTGAAATTTTTAAAACATTCATTATATTATGTTGTTATTAGTTTTTTTACATCATAAATTTAATAAATATTATTTTATGATTACAACTCGCCGATATGCTGATAAAATAATATACATCATAAATTTAATAAATATTATTTTAATTAGCCTAAAACTGTCTACGTAAAGTTATACTTTGTTCTTCACGCCACTTTAAAACATACATGATTTTCCTTAAGATTTGAAGGGCCTCTATGCATTTCTTTTAATTCTGAAATTTTTAAAACATTCATTATATTATGTTGTTATTAGTTTATATACATCATAAATTTAATAAAACTTTATTATTTTATGATTACAACTCGGTCGATATGCTTATAGAGTAGCTTATCCGTCATAAAGAAATAAACCTTATCAGACAAGAGAGGTATTTATTTCAGATTCTAGTTGCCACTCTGAATGATTTAAAAAAATATCCATAATTATATTCATATTTTGTTTATGAAATAATACCATGTTACCCGCTCTTAAGGGTTTAAGGACCTATATGACTATGAATTGTCGACTCAGAGTTATGATAAAAAAGCATTCATTCTTTATTTACCAAGCTTTTAGAATAAACATCATTACATGGATTAACACTGAATACTAACCACGTAGGAAAAATCGTCGCAAACTTTTTAAACGAATTCCATTATCATAAATTCAAAACATTTTTTCTTTCACTCGGTCCTTTCGGTTCCTTCTATTTTCAGTCCTTTCTTTCTATTTCTCTTTTTCTTTCTCTTTCTCTTACACTAGAGGGAAAAGGAAAATAAATATAAAAGGTTTCATATCTTTACTTTACTTGTATAGATTTTTTTAACATTTATTACAAAAGAATTCTTTTTTTTTAATAATTTTGATATGGCCTTCATAGACCAAAAACTGCACTTCAAAAAAATTCATGCAGCATGCCACACCTCATTTGATGCTGACTTCAGATATTTTTTATTTTGGGCTCTAATCTCACATAAGAATAATCTAACAGGAAACCATGTTTTATTTGATATTTTTACTGTTCTCTGAACTTTTTTTTCCATTTTTCTAAATCTAGTAATTGTCGACTTTCCCTTGGTATAGACATATTTCACACTTCTTACTCCTTCACACTATTTTTGTTCACTTCTATTAGATAACACCCGTCTTCTCCATACCCCCCCTTTGAAATATCA